TTTCCAGTTTTTTCCTTGTACGTCCCATATGTCTCAGATTCTTACTACCCGCTTTTTGACCCAGCCACACCACGTGGGGTCCGAACTGCGGAATACTCTCTGTTGCCGGTTCGTGATATACAGATTCCCAAAGAGGGGTTGTCTCATCACCTCTTCCCACCTGGACGACCGACTCTTGTCTAGCATGGGGAGCTGACGCCACACGCGGAGTGACCTAATCCAGAAGTCATCCCCAACTAGGTCACGTTTGGTAGCCCCCCATTCTGTATCCCTCTGGTGTTTGGAGGGGCGAGGTATGGACCAAAAACGGTCCTCGAGCCAAGTCAGTGGGTCAACCTCACAGGGGGCCTGGGGGGCTAATCATGCAATTTGTTCAAAGGCCAGGGCCGGCCATGGGAGACGGGGGCTGAATAACAGCCGTCTAATCCACTGTACAGTTATCGCTGTGACTTGGATAGCAGGGTCTAGAATTCCTGACCGCCCTTCTCTTTGGGTTGAATCACCACTGGCCAAGCAACTCTATTGATGACATTTGGGAGATTACTGTCCCCTCTCCAGAGCAGCGCCGTAACCTGTCTCTTCAACGCTTTGACCGCCTCCTTGCTAAGGGCCCATATTGTAGACTTGTACCACAATGAAGCCAGAATGGAGTTATTGATGGCCAAAGCCCTACCCATCAGCGATGTCCGTTTGTCATTCCGGTGAGCGATCTTTTCCAGTGCCGGTTTCAAAATCCAATCGTCGTTAGATGCTGGTTTGCCCACTGCTGTCATCATAATACCTAGGACCCGAATCGGGGCCTCTGCGGATACCCATTTGACTCTTGGCTGCTCAAGGGGGCGTACTCCTTGGTGATGAATCCACCACCCCAAGGTTTTATTTCCCCAGTTGACCGTCATGTCAGACACAACTGTGAAACGGTCCATGAGGTTTCTAATCTCCTCCATGTTGGCAGGTGAGGTATCTAGCATAATGGTCAAATCGTCCGCAAACATTGAGCAAACAGGGATGGCTTCCTCTGGGATGGCGGAGATCTGAAGTTTCTTCAAGTCCTTGTTGGCACGAAGGTTTGCCGCCAGCGCTTCCATTATGATGATGAAGAGAAAGGGGGCCAGCAGGTCCCCTTGGCGTACCGACCGATGTAGCTGAACTTCCGGAGCCAGCATCCCATTAACCTGGACTTTGGTGGTGGCATTCTGATGCAAAATTGCAGTCCATCTCCGGAAGAGTGGACCCACGTTCATTTTTTCCATGCATTTGTCTAGGAAGAGCCAGTCTACATGGTCATACGCTTTCTCAAAGTCTATGAAGATCACAACCGCATTACATTTATCTTGTCGTGTCAGTCTCAAGAGCACGTTGACCAAAAGAATATTATCTTGAATTCTAAGCCCTTTAACAAACCCTGTTTGCGTAGGGTGTATGAGTGTTTCCAGAAAAGGGATCAGGCGATTCGTCAGGGCTTTTGCAAGCATCTTGTATACGATTGTCAGTAGGGTTATGGGGCAGTAATTTCTTATATCCATTTTATCTCCCTTTTTGTATAGTAGGGTGAGAACACCCTGCCCTACCAACTCCCCCATGCGTCCGGATTCCCAAACCTGCTCATAGTACTCCATCAGGTCCGGGGCCATGTGGTCCCAGAATGTTTCCCAGAATTCCTTTGGGAAGCCGTATAGGCCCGACACTTTTTCCTCCTCCATTTGCAGCAGAGCAGCCCAGATCTCTTCCTTGGACAGCGGGCGGTCTAAATGTGCCTTCTGTTGTTCAGAAAGGCTTTTCGTAAGGGGCTGTAAGAAGGTTGCGATCTCTTCTTCCCTAGCCTGTTGCTCCCGCTGGGCACATCTAGAAGTGAAGAGATCCTTGAAGAAGGAACGTGCTATGTGCATACATTGGGGGGTGGAGGTTGCTACTTCCTCACATCCTATTTTTGGGTCATATAGGGCTTCAATGTTCGTCCTTTGTGTTCGTGCTCGGGCTATGCTAAAGAACTTGGTATCCATTGTGCCTTCAGTTCGGTATCGTGAGATTCGTGCTCTGATGCGTACGCCTTCCCATCAGTGGGCAGCAAAGGTCTGTAGTTGTTGTTGTAAAGATTGTATGTCCAACCGATGATTCTGGTTGGTCTCTGGTGTTTCCTGCTGTTCCAGCTATTGGAGATTATGAAGTACCTCTATTTCGCATTTATGTCTGCGGGCCGCTAACTGTGATGAGTATTCCTTACATTTTTTATTTAGAAAAAATAACCCGTTATTAAACCATTCTATTTCCTGGGGTATGTGTTGTTTTTGTGTATGCCAAAGAGGAATGTTTTCTGTTGAAGGAGAGAAACATTTAGCTTATAGAATCCATTTCCTTGGTCGGGTTTTTTACGGAAGGTCAGTGTAACTGTGCACATTTTGTGATCAAGGCCAGTATACGGGCTGCGTGGTAGGATAGCTGCTAAGAGCAGCGAGCTCTGCAAATCCTCTGAGATGAGTATCAGGTCGATCCTAGATCTGGATTGACCTTCTGTTCCTTCCTTCCGGAGACGGGAGTAATATTTCATGTCAGGAGAGGCAGCAATTTCCTTATTCAAACCCTCAAAAAAATTGCTTCCAAGTTGCCGTCCGACTTCCTCCTGCAGAGCATCTCTATGATCTCTGCGTTATCATATACCATAGCCGGCTAGGGAGTTTGGGTTGGAGGGAGGAGGGAGACTCGGGATACTTGACGAAACTGCGTTCTGAGTTTGTTCCAGGTGGTTTACTCTCGGTTGTGATCCTTGGTTTCTTTTGTGGTCCTGATTGAGGTGGAGAGTGGTGAGGGACTTGGGAATTGATTCTATTCCATTCTTCTTGGTTTCTAGACTCGCTGTGCATGTCTCTGTTTGGCGTGATGTGAATCCCTCTCCAAGTCTGTTTTGTCGTCTGTGTGTGTTTATGGGAACATGTTGATGATCTGTTGGATTGCGTTCTTTTTTTTTTTTTTTTTTTCCTTTATCAATTCGTATGTGATGAGCAGCATCGATTGCCTTCTTGCTAGGGGATTGACTGCCCATCCACCTCAGAGGCGGACTTACACTTCTCTTCAACTGCTATCCCACACTATCCCGTGTGTCTTCTACCGAGAGATGGTTAATGGAAGACCCAAAATTCGGGGTTTTTCGCCGCATCACTACACACAATGTCGTCGAAAATTTTGCGAACAAATATGCAGGCTCATAATTCAAACATTAGAAAACCAATCAGGCAAAAAAAAAAGGGAAAAAAAAAAATCCAGAGCATTATAAAACCCTATTATATACCCTAAACCACATACATATCATACCGAAAAAAAAAGACAAGAAAAAAGCAGAAATTCAGGGAAATATGGCAGTTTCGGTGAAAAATTTGCCGAAAATGACACCACCCATTAACCACGAGTGCTCTACTGCACCGACACACCGAGGGTCCTTCCGCAAGACGGTTGGATTGCGTTCGCAAACAGTCACATAGCAGTCCACGCCTGCCCAACTTCTACCGACTTTCCCTTGACCTACTGGCAGCTACCGGAATCTACCTGAGACTGCCTGCTGGTACTGGGTCCTACCTGGGACACGGGGATATGGTTCATGGGACTGGGACTGGGACTGGGACCAGGGTGGACAACTATAAAATCCTTTCATTTTCTTCTCCACACTGTCTTCTTTTTCTTCGCTGTGTTTGTTATCATTGAGTTGAGCCTTGTGAGTTCATGTGAGATTTGATCGTGTGCTTCTGAAGTTGGGTCCATTACAGCTCCAAAGCAAATTAAATTCTTAAAGTAAATAAATGCCACAGTGATGGCAAAAACCTTTTTTCTTTTGAAAGAGCAAAAACAAGAAAAACAGGTCTATATGGCCCAGGCCCTGGCTCCACGAGTCCACATCCATTCTGCCGACTGTCAGTGCAGTTCCTTTTCCACCGGCATGTCTTGAATTTACAATGCAACTCACTCGTGTTTTCTTCCATCTGGCCGAAGGACCCCCCCCCCTCCTCCCCCCCCCTGCTCAGTATTGACTACTTTGTAAGAGGAGGATTGACTAGGAGAAGACAGCTGTATGTAAAAACAAAAAAAAACAAAAAAAAAAGGGATCGACTCCCGGCTTGCCATTCTCTTTCCCATTCCACATGGATTCTTTCCCTATTCTCTGTCAGGATCCGATTTAGAACCAAATCTGAGCTTGAGTGTCCTCTGGTTTTCAAATCCATGTGTGCTCCTGGACTTCCCTTTGCTGCATGCTGGTCTGTCTTGCCGTTGAATGGGCTGAATTGTGCGAATCGTTCCATCTGATGCGTAGCCCTTGAATCTCCTTTCGCGAGTGAAACTTTCTTTGGAACGTCCACCCTTGGAGTCCGGGTCACCTGGGATGAGCAGTGTGATCTTTCGTCATTTACATAAGATCGCTGCCTAAATAAGTTTTCTTTTTGTTGCTGTCCAAACCGTCGCTGTATTATTCCTCCTATCGTCAATAGTGATGCTGCATCTCACTTTCCAAATAGCCTGTATTGTCGCCTTCAGCACCGGACCATACCAAACTGGGTCCTGGTTTGCCGCGAGGTTGCAGGGATGTCAGTATTCCTCCTGTATTGTCGCCTTCAGCACCGGACCATACCAAACTGGGTCCTGGTTTGCCGCAAGGTTGCAGGGATGTCAGTATTCCATAGTAGGAACCGAATGCTGTGTTCCGGAAATGGGAAGAGGAGAAGAAGCAGAGCCGAAGATTAGCTAGCTGTGCTCCAGCCCAATATTCTGTTGCTTCTGTGCAGGGTATAAGGCTGTGAATCATATCTTCCTCCTGTTTTTTTATAAGGGCAGACTACACATAGCTCTGCACTGTTATTAGGGTCTGTCCTCCTCCTACGGAGACAGGCATAGGCCATGCGTAGTTGCTTTGCTTCAGAGGTTGCATGGGGAAAATTTGGGGAAAAAGACTCAGCACTGAGTCAACAGGATGGAATTTCCAACTGTAGTTGCTTTGCTTGTGTTGCTCCCTCCAGGTCCTCAGCATATTGGAGCAAATTCAGCAAGCATCCATTTCAGGCTCAGCCAGCAGTGTGGCTACCCTGACATCCAGTCAGAGGAAGCAGCTTGAGAACATCCGGAAAGTCGCGGCGGTCTTGGAGACGTCTCTTTTACGGTTGGAAGACACTATAATGATGCTGAAGGACTTCTAAGACAATATTTCCCCAGTAAAGAACTCACTAAAGGTTGATTTTGTCCTTGTGAGAAGAAAAAAGATGCCCACGCCTATGTTGTCTCGGATGATCTGGCATGCCTTGCTAGCTAAGAAGAAGAAGATTTCCTGCAGGAGCTTGGTTAGACCAGCAGTATGTTGCCTAGGCTTTTTTTTTTTTGCCGGACCGTGGATGATCTGCCGTCGACAACTTTCATCCATGTCTCCCGACGCTGAAAGTTGCGGGGCTGGCTGTGTGTATGTTGCTTGTGAGAGTTTTGCCCGTGAAACGTAGTGGTGGTTTAAAGGAAGCCATTATCTTGTGTTTGCTATTGTGGAAGGGGCAGCAGGGGAGATGCGGATGGGCAAGCTGGACCAGGGCAATGGCCGGGCTGGTTCTCTCCAAAGCTGATGCTCTTGCGAGTACTGGGAGTCACGTGGGGGGGTGCGCCAGCAAGAGGTGGGACTCGGGGACGCAAAGCGGGTTTACCTCGTGAGGTGTACCCTGTGATGAGGATGTTAAAACTTCTTTTGTGCCTATGTCATCAGCTAAACAAGAAAGGAGTAACCAGCTGTGTTACCAACCGGGGGTCACTTGGCTCGCCTTGGTGGCTGAGGCGGCTCGGCCGGGCAAGGGCCAGGGAAGTTCCCTGTAGAAGAAAACCAAAGATAAAAAAGGATCCTAAAAAATCGGGGGAAAAAAACTATCTTGTGCAGAAAACAAAACGTAACAACTTTTGCCTCAGGGTCACATCGAAATTCTTTGCCTAATCCCGACAACCGCGGCCAATGATGTAAGGGACACTGGGCCCGTTTCCCAGCATATTAAAATGTGACATTTTTTGGGGAAACCCCTATCCACAGCTGCTGATGCCGGACCCCCAGTCGGGCCGAGTCTTGTTTGGGCCTCTGTTGCTGTGACGAACATGTCAAGCGGAGACCGATGTGTAACCTACGGCAATCACGATCATAGCTTGGTACCCCTTTTCCCCTTTGTTTTTTTTTCTGTTTTTCTTTTTGAAGAAGAAGAAGATTCTCGGCTGTTTGTGCTTCGGCTCCCCATGAGAGACGGGGAGCATTCACTACCTGCAGGCGTGCTCTTTCCAGAATGGATCTGGCTGCACTTCTGCCCAGGGCATTTTCACACGAGTGGAAACAAGAAAACGACAGGCTCTTTAGGTTCCGGCCGCAGGCTTGGCAAAATATGGCGTGCAGGGCATTTTCAGGGTTCGCTTCAATAGCTGGGCGAAGTACTGGTGGTTTACAGCACCAGTACTCCATGCATCAGCCTGCGAGTGTCAGCATGAAACCCGCACCACTTTGGAGGCCGCCGATTTGTTTTTTCAATGGCGCTCCGTGCCGCGCGACCCCTCAGAGTTTTGCTTGTGGCGACAAAAACTTTCTCCAAGGCTGGGGCCGTGTACTTGCGGTTTAAGGCCAAGATCATGTTTTATAGATTCTAAGCATGAGCATAGCACTGGTGGGGCCTGGTCCATATTCTCACAACTTTTATCTGGGGTGTACTCTCTCACCAGGACGTCCTCGAGGTCTGCCAGCGCAGTTAGTTACATTAAAGTACGTTAAGGAAATTCCCATTGTGGGTGTTTCCATCATTCTTTCTCGTGCTCTAGGAATCGGTGTAGTGATTAGGTCTTGCCACCAGAGAAGTCATGCCCTCGGCAAGTGAGTGAGGGCATGCTCACACTAGTGTTTTCCTGAATTTCCCTGACTGCAGTTAAAGCCAGATTCACTCGAGAAGCTCTTAGTGTGAGTATGCTCTGATAAGTCTGCTACTAACTGGCGCCAAAATTTAAATTGTGAACGGTTTTCTTGCTGTAAGTTGGTAGATTGCAAACAGGTGGGCCATCCCATTCATTCCCATGGTCAGAGAAAGTTCTTTAATTGTAAACAGTGAGCAAAAGGCAAGTATGACCATGTGGCCACTTCAATCTTTGTTTTCTTTTTCGTTTCCAAGAATGTGGCTACCCTGTGATAAGCCAAGCTCCGTACCTCGTGGCTTCACGTACCCTTTGTAATAAACCCCGAAGCAAGCCCCAAAGTACGGATCTTGACTAATTACAAGAAAAGGGGTCCGCTAAAGTCATCTGCATGCATCTTTCGGTTTTGTCCCTGTCTTTGTTCCAATTAGTCTCGCGCGGCCGACTAGCGACCGCGCGGGAATTTTAAAGAAAACAGTTATGAATTCGGTTGACACTGAACTTGACAGTGTTTTTAATTTTCCTTGATCAATATATGCGTACACGCGGCCATGTTTGAATTCTTGCTTGCTGCGCAAGCCAACTTCTTTTCTTGCTGTCCTTCGTCTACACGCACCCCTTCGTCTTCCCCCCCCCACAAGCTGACCTCCCATTTCGCATGAACGCGCCAACTTCTTTTCTTGCTGACCCTCGTCTATATGCATCCCCTCTTCTTCCTCCCCCCCCCCTCATCATGTCCTCCCTTTGTTCTTCGGCGTGATTGATTGGTCGCCAGTTGAGATGGTCGGATCAAGCCGTAAGAGCGAACTTATGCGCGCGGCTTGAGTGACCACCTCAAGTGCACAAAAATTTTGACTGTCCCACTTTTTTTTTTTTTTTTTAAGCCCAGCTTGTTGTAGAGGCCAAGGAACAGAGCAGCGGTGATTGCTGGTAGCGGCAGCCAATTGTTGTCCTGACAGGATAGGCCACCTACCCTACCCATCCCCACGTTAATACTCCCAGCGCACCCCCTGTCCCTACTATCCCACCTCAGTCTGACCAGCACTCAGGACCATCACCCTACCAGTATCGAGGGCAACTTGAACCAGACAGCAGTGACAAGCACCAAGGCTGGGCCAACCTCCCAGCCCTAATGGAAGCGGAAGTGGATGAACCTTGTCGTACGGGAACTTCGGACGCCAGGCTCATGCAATCTTCTACAGGCCCAATTCAGAGAGTCTACCCAGCAGGATTACCTAAGCAAGGCAGGCCAGCGCCCGCGGACACATCCCCTAGCTTACCCAAGGCTAGGTGGAACTCTAGCCAGGGCAACTTATATCCCTACCCTACCCTAAGGCTAAGCCATGTGGTTAATGAGCTTTTAAGATTATCTCGACAGTCCAGGTGCAATGCCGCCTTTATTTTTATAGATTTTGAAAAAGCATATGACCATGTGGATTGGCATTTCCTGGATAAATGTCTGGAGAAAATGAACTTTGGAGAATCCTTTCAGAGATGGATACGTATCCTTCACCAAAATGCCACCATGCGTGTACAAGTGAATGGAAGCCTCGCCCCGGATTTTCCTCTACAAAGATCTGTCTGCCAAGGAGATCCGATCGCGCCATATCTTTTCGTGGTGGTAATGGAGGCCTTGGCGGCCAACCTTAGAGCCAACCGGAACATCAGTAGAATCAGGACGACCTCTATCACACAAGATGCATTGCAGGTGTGCTCGTTGTTTGCAGATGACCTCACCTTGATGGTGGAGGCCTCCACTCAAAATATGGAGGAAATTGAAAGGTTGATGGCCCGATTCTGCTCCCTCTCTGATATGGCAATTAATTGGGGCAGTAAAACATTGGGGTGGTGGATGCATCATGATGGAGGCAGACCTCCGGAGAACCCAAATGTGACATGGCTCCCCCTCGACACCCCCATCAGAGTCCTTGGAATTCAACTCTCAGCTGAAGGAAAACCGGTCAGTAACGATAACTGGATAATGTCTTTGGCCCTGCAAAAGCTGGGAACATGGAAGAATAAAAACACATCCCTCTTGGGAAGGGCCCTAGCCATTAACAATGTGGTTATGGCAACACTGGTATAAATCGGCAATTTGGCCCTTGACCAGAGAGGCTTCAAAGGCCTTGAGGCGGCAGGTAGCTTCCTATGGAGACGTAACCATGAAAACCACCATACCATTAGTCGGGTGGCCTGGGATGCAGTGGTGCAGCCAAGGTCACAAGGTGGCCTAGGGATACTCGACCCAACCACTCAAACAACTGCCCTTTCACTCCAATGGTTGAAGCAGTTTATCTGCACCCCCGGACTTACTTGGGAGCCCCTGGCCTGGGAACAACTCTCGAGACTGGCACCAGAGGCTGCTTCGACCATACACCCGATGGCATGGTTAGACGATGTCTTCTGGGCACTTCCCAGACCCCCCACCCGACCACAACCACACTCGGACCGGACGGCAGCTCGTAAGGATCAAAGGAAAGACGGATTTTGGATCGACCTAATAAAGGACTGGAGGAGGCTCCTGCTTCCGGATAGACCGTTCCCTGAACGTTGGGAGGAAGTTCTGCGCCAACCCCTATTTGGAAACAGATGGGTAACAGATCAGCAGGGGCGGGTTCTTCTCAGCACCAGCCCCCCGTGGAAGGATGGGTAAGAAATGGGGTCATGAGGGTAGGGGATCTTTGGGACCAAACCAGGGCTAACTGGGTCATAGAGGAACAGCTGCGAGCAAAGCTCCCCCACTGCCAAAGAATAGGCGAGAGGCTAGATCAGATCCTATTCGCTCTCCCTCTTGCATGGCTGAGGACCCTTCGGCGAGGACCAACGGTGGAGGAGGGTGACTGGGTTGTATTAAAGGGGGATGCAACGCGGGTGGGACAAGTAATTATAGGCAAACCAGGGGAAGTGCTAGTAAACTCCATAGAGTCAGGGTCCTAAGAGATGGGGATTCCTGGGTGGCATTCAGACCGGAGGTGCCAATCCAGGACCTCCCCTTAGATGCTGCCGAGTGGAGATGGAAAATTCCCACAAGGAACGACATACCGAAATATCGATATCTCCACTCACTGGGGGTTAAGGCCTCGTATCGGATGCTTAGGACCAGAATCAACCTGAAAGATCATATAGTGGATCGTTGGGCAAGGCATTTAAATGTCCCATTGAGTTCACTGACACCCATCAAATTGTTTAAAGGGATGAAAGCCAAACCAGCCAAAACTGCCTCACTCCAATGGCAAATCACCCATCGCTGCCTACCCACAAATGCATGGCTCATTGACCACACCCACCTGGAACAGAAAGGTGTGGCCCTCCCCTGGTGCCTGGCCTGCAAAGAAGCATTTCCCTCCAGAAAAGTTAATGAGCCAATAAAACACCTTTTTTTGCAATGCCCTGCTTCAATCCTCATCTGGCGTGGGTGGGTTCGGATTTGGGACCAGCTAGGCACAAACGGCGATTGGCCGTGGGAATGGAGAGCCTTACTAACCGGGCATTGGACTGCTCAAACCTCGACCTTTACGGCCAACTTGTTCAAGGTCGGAAGGGGCGCGGTCCTATGGGCCATATGGCGTCGCAGATGCACTTTAGCACTGGAAGACGCCCCATGTGGAAAACGGCGAGATGGTGGACATGATCAAAGACATAATAGAAATAACAATCAGAGCCCAGTGGAAAAAAACTGTGCAAACCATGTTAGCCCTCACCAAAGAACAGACATTATCCAAAAACTTCATGAATTCTGCATGGACTGGCTGGGGGGAGAACAGGGAGGATGGATAGCAAGGATTCAGTGGGAGGGCTGCTACCTGGATGGCAACGATCGGCTGGACACATCGCAGAAAAACTACCAATTGACCTTCCACGATTGGACTGCAATTCCTAGCAACATCCCACTTCCCCCTGCCTCGGAATTCCCTGACCTCTTCCCCTTGCCCAACAATGTCTTGATGGAATTGAGCTGGTATGGTCGTGATACAGGGTAACCTCCCCAATAGTGACTTTATTGAACCGTCATGAAAAGTAAGGGTAGAGGGAGGACCGGCAGTCTGCCCCAGTTGCCCCCAGGAAGCAGAATCCGCCCCCCGCCCCCTTGTGCATCAGGCCGGTCCAATAATGACACGACCGGAGCTTGGTACCCTAGCATGCAAAGGGAATAATCGTGGTCATGTTCAGGTACCCTCGTGCTCAGTCAATCCTTCGAGGAGCTCGGGGTAATCAATGCTGGCAGGCACGTAAAAAGGATACATTAGACAGGCCTGCGCAGTCAATCCCCTGGGACACAGGGTAATCAATGCTGGCAGGGCTCATAATCAAGATCAGAATACAGACGGTTCCCAGCAATATGCTGGTGGACCCCACAGTCCCTATTCTCATTGTCCTCAGGGGAAGGTGAAGAGGCCACTATTTAAGGCTGCTCAGTCAATCCCCTGAGGTGCAGGGCAATCAATGCTGGCAACCTCACAGTCACGATTCTCATTGTTCTCAGACATTATCAATTTCTGTATATGGGACGCTGGACCAGTTTTCCAGCAGGTGATGCTCCCCACCAATAGATGGAGCCTCCCTCCTGGTGTTAGTGGTGTCTGCCTTTATCAGCAGCACTAACACTGGCGAGGGCGTTTTCAAAAAAAAAAAAAAAAAAAAAAAAAAAAAAAAGGCTAAGCCATGTGTGAGTAGACCCCGTCATATACCTGATAGACTCCCCCAGCCCAGTATTGTAGTTGTGTGTATGTGTGTGTGCCCAGAGGCTATGTATGTCTGTATGAGCCCATAGGGCCATGTTTTTTGTGTCTGCCTGAAGGCTATGTGTGCTCTGTGTAACTATATAGCGAGATGTATGTGCCCGAAGGCCAGATATATGCAGCACTATGTAGAGGGAACTGCGTTAGTTTGAAGAGATGACAGGCCAAGCTGGACAAGAAACCCCCGCAAAGTCCCAAGCCAGACTCGAACCCGTGATCTATGGCATGTGACCTGAAGACTCTACCATTTGAGCGACAATCACAAACGCCCCGTGTGTGATATGCCAGAGGGGGGAGATCAACAGAACAACCA